AATCAAACTGCTGGGTTCTTCCTGGTTCTTATACATTGATCTCAGGAAATTTGCTTATCTTCCTTGTGCCTCTTTTTTCTCAGGGATAATAGTAGTTACGTCATTGGGTTGTTGAGGATGTAATTTTTCTTTGAACAGTGCTTGAGGCACATATGCAATTACATGTTTGCTATTATTATCATCATTTCCCACAAGAAAAAAGAAAGGCCATCACAAATTCCAAGAAAAAACATAAAAGTGTACTAGACAGTTAAGGTCCAAATATGAGGGAAACTAAAACATGGCATTTTTTTAGTAATAGTGAAAAAAGAGTCCATTGTTGTACTAGACAGTGAAGGTCCAAATATGAGGGAAACTAAAACATGGCATTTTTTTAGTAATAGTGAAAAAAGAGTCCATTGTTGCTAAATTGTACCCACTGAGAAGAAAGGTAATCCAAGCACATTACACTTTGTTCTGTAATGATTATTACAGAGACATTACTATAATGTAAATGAAAAGATTCTCCATATTTCTTTATATATTATATATATGTATATATAAAATACAAAAATTAATACCTAAGAGACTCTCTAAAGTGACTTTCCCTTACTAATTCTCTGGTTTAATTTATCCCCATAGTTTCCTAGATAAAAACTACTGAATGATGTTCAAGGCACTCTCAATGCTCAAAGCTAGTCACTCCAGCATGCCCATGAACTTCTGCTCAGTGATTATCAAGAGTCAGTAGTGTTGGTTCCAAACCTGTTTGTGGTAGTTGCTGTTGCAATTATGTAATTTGATTAACCACCATACATAGCATGCTCAAAACAAGCAAAACAAGGTTTTGGTTACACATTAAAAGATTAACAAATGATATATATTTTTATTTGATAAATTTGAATGTTTAAGTTATACATGTATGATTTTTATGATGCTCTGTCTTAACTGACTTTATAATGCTAGTCCTTATCATATTCAACAATCTCTACTGTACTGAAATATCTCCAACAAAGAATATATTATCTTCTCTAATGTCTCCATACATAAAGTTTTACGTAATATCAAAGATGAAATCAGTTTAACATTTGATCATTTTGAATCCTAAAATTCACTTGAATTTGGGATTTGTAGGAGCATATATAAAATTATTAGGACTAATTTGAATTTCTATTAAGTATTTATGGAGTATACAAATTACACCTACCTCAGTTGTATCCTTAAGATAAAGATAGGGTCTAATAGATCTTGATTTTAGATGTTCTTCTACTGGCTCTAAAGAAACAAACTCAAACATAAGTATTTCCATGCTATTAAGTTACTTCTAATTAAACCCAATCAACCATTGTCTCCACTGCAGTAAACTTTTAAGAAATGTAAATGAGTAATTTTATTTGCTTACATATGCATTGCTTGTACATGGTTAGAGCTAAATCTATTTTAGAATAATTTGCCCTAAAAGTGAATTTCTATTAACAGACTATAACTTTCAATTATTTACTATTTTTACAACTATTAACTGTTTATACAATAAAGCTGTATTGTATTGGAAAATGATGGATTTCTAAATAAAACAGAATCGTATGTGTTATTCAAAAAATATTTTGGCTAATTCCTTTGAAAAGAGAAATAGAAATGGTCTCTTCTACCTGCATTTCTCTCATATTCAGTTATGAGTTTTGTTGATCTGAATTATCATCCAATGGATATCCTTAAAGTAAGTATGGTGCAAGGGTCAGGCATACAGACTTTGGACTTAGATAGCCTGGGTCCAAATTGCACCTTTTTGTGTGAGTTACATAGCCATAGCCTTAGGAAAGTTACTTAACATTTATGAGTCTTACTTTTCTCATTTGTTAGCTGGAAACAATAGCACTTATAGAAATACTTTCAGAGTTAAATGAGATAATCGATGTAACAAATTTAATATGGAGTCTGGTAGTCATTCAATCAATAGTTATTTGTTGATCAACTACTATAAGCCAGGCACTGATGGACTCTGGAATTGTGACTCCTGCCCAATGATGCATACATTTTAGTGGGTAATATGGAAGATTAAAAAAAAACAACAAGATGTTGGACTGGTGAAGTGACTTACACCTATAACCCCAGCATTTTGGAAGGCCAGGCCAGGTGGATCACTGGAGCCCAGGAGTTCAAGACTAGACTGGGCAACATGGTGAAACCCTGTCTCTAAAAAAAAAAGTACAAAAGTTAGCTGAGTGTGGTGGTGTGCCTGTAGTCTCAGCTACTCAAGAGGCTGAGGTGGAAGGATTACTGAGCCCAGGGAGGTCAAAGCTGCAGTGAGCCGTGATCACACCACTGCATTCCAGTCTGGGCAACAGAGTGCGACCCTGTCAGGAAAAGAAAACCAACAAAAAAACCAAGGGGTGAATAATTGTAATTTATTCTGTAACAGAAATAAATACATTTTGGTGAGGGAGAACCATAAAAGAGGTATATTGTTGAAAGGGTAGTCAGAGGAGGCCTCTCTGAACAGATGACATTTAACCAAATATGCAAATGAGCTGTAAGCAGCATGAATAGAGTATCAAAGTGTTTAGGCAGAGGGGAAAATATATATTCCTCTCAGGAAATCTGGCAGTTGTACTGAAAAGAGGCTAATGAAGTTGCAATTTATTTATTTTGAGATGGAGTCTTGCTCTGTCACCTAGCTGGAGTGCAGTGGCACCATCTTGGTTCACTGCAGGCTCCACCTCCTGGCTTCTAGTGATTCTCATGCCTCAGGCTCCCGAGTAGCTGGGATTACAAGTGTGTACCACCACACCTGGCTAATTTTTGTATTTTTAGTAGAGATGGGGTTTCACCATGTTGGCCAGGCTGGTCTTGAACTCCTGACCTCAAGTGATCTGCCTATCTTGACCTCCCAAAGGTCTGGGACTACAGGTGTGAACCATCCCACCTGGTTGAAGATGCAATTTAAATGAAGGCCAGGGAGGTAGGGAATGAGGTTGAATACACACATAAAAGTCACAATAGACAGGTAGGTCTTTGTTTCTTTCTTCTTTTTTTTTTTTCAGATGGAGTTTCACTCTTGTTGCCCAGGCTAGAGTGCAACGGTGCAATCTCAGCTCACTGCAACCTCTGCCTCCCTGGTTCAAGGGATTCTCCTACCTCAGCTTCTCAAGTAGCTGGGATGACAGGCATGTACGATCATGCCCAGCTAATTTTGTATTTTTAGTAGAAACAGGGTTTCGCCATGTTGGTCTGGCTGGTCTCAAACTGTTGACCTCAAGTGATCCACTTGCCTTGGCCTCCCAAAGTGCTGGGATTACAGCCATGAGCCACTGTGCTCAGCCAGGCCTTTGTAAGGAGTACAAGTTTCATACTAAGTACAGTGAGCAGCCACTGAAGAGGCTTTAATCAGGATCAGCCTACTTTTAAAAGATCTCTATATGATTTAAGGAAAGAAAATGGATTAGAGATTTCTGCTACCATTATGGAAGGCCAGGTAATTAGTACCAGCCCTCCTGCTGAAAACATCTTAAAAGGCTAGATGGACTATTTTTTAAAGTCTAAAGAGAATCATAGACTTAAAAGATGATAAGGGACCCCTGGTCTTAAATCTAGGAGAAGATAAGAACTCAGATAGGTAAGCCCAACATGCCAAGTCACTTTTTCCCTGAGGGTATTTGTGATGTGAAAGTAAGATCAAATTTTGGAAGCTTCATGGCTTGAGATAGAAAAAAACAAAAAGCTGGCCAAAGGTCCAAAGTTTTGATATTTAATATGTTCTCCACTTTCCTTCCTCCACAAAAAAACCCCCACACCTATTCATTTTACCTGGGATCCAAAAAGATTACATCCTTAGGGTGAACTAGAATAGTTAAGCTTGCCACCTGGATGTTTTAGGGAAAGTGACACCTTGAATGCTTTGTTATGTTCTGACAAGTACTGCCTCCAGATACCTGGCATAAACAGTAAAAAAAAAAAAGAAAAGAAAAAAGAAAAAAAATATTTTCTGGAGTAAGGTACCATCACCCTAGTTCTCAAATTGTTCCTATAGATAATTTTCCAAATAGTGTCCAGCACACATTCAAGGATAATAAGACACATAAGGAAATATGACATCATGAAAGTAAATCATGAGAAGTAAAATAACTGTGTGTGTAACAAATTCTTTGAGAAATCAGGTTATGAAGCACAATAGAAAAATTAAGCAATACGGGGTGATGTGGAGTCAAGAAATCTCAGTTAAGAAGGTTGATGAGAATCATGCAATGGAATGATTGTTTGATAATGCCAGAGAAAGAGAAAAACTAAGGCAACACGAAATGTTCAAATTCTCTGAGAACTGATAATGCTGATTCCTAGCTCACAGATTCCTAAATTTTTTTTTTTTTTTTTTTGAGACAGAGTCTCACTCTTGTTGCCTAGGCTGGAGTGCAGCGGCATGATCTCAGCTCACTGCAACCTCTGCCTCCTGGGTTCAAGCGATTCTTCTGCCTCAGCCTCCCGAGTAGCTGGGATTACAGGCATGCGCCACCACACCAGGCTAATTTTTTTACTTTTGGGAGAGATGGGGTTTTGCCATGTTGGCGAGGCTGGTCTCGAACTCCTGACCTTAGGTGATCTACCCACCTCTGCCTCCCAAAGTGCTGGGATTACAGGCGTGAGCCACTGCGTCCACTCGGCCAGATTCCTAAAATTTCTAACCTGAGAGTAAGTTTCTATTAAGCAAGCTGGTCATACTTGACTTTTAAAAAACAATAACAAGGAAATTCTCAGTATTGAGCTGAAAGGAAACTCAGAGATTTTGTTTCTAAAAGAAAAAAACACATAACCCTATAAACATAAAAATATATTCCTATTTTGTGAATTGTATAAATTGTCCATTCTGATATTTAACATCTCTTCTTACTAAATTCTTTTTTATAGTTCATGGAAATGCTTTTGACAGAGACATCAAATTATCAAGAACTTTTAAGACACACATCAATAAAGTAAATAAAGCACCCATTAATAAATCAAAGAAGTAAATATGTTACACAAAGCATTACCTGTTGACTGACTTTCTTTATTTTTTATATTTGTTTGAACAAAGAATGGTCTTAAATTTGACTTTTCAAAATTACTCTTTCTAGGTTCAGGCTCACATTTGAAAGACGCACGCCTGGAAGAAATAAAAATTAATTTAAATTAATGAGAAAATTTACAAAATAAATCTAATAAATAAATTTGGAGAAATGTGGTGAAGTCCTAGTTATGCAGACTTGGATGTTATGTTAATGTTATCATAGTACAATGTGCAAAACATTGGACTGCTTAAATAGGAGCTGAAAATATTAGTTTTAGTCATTTAAAGTAGAGGGGGATATAATCCAGTCTCACACTGTAACTGTTGTCTATAGGCCGATGTCCCAGATTTACAGTCCGGACTCTAACCTCTTCTCTGAACTTTAGATTTACATATCCAACTGCCCACATGACTCTTGCACTTAGCTTAATTGTAAGTATCTCGAACTTAACATATTCAAAACCAAATTCTTGATTCCACCCTCTTCCTGATCTTCTCCTCACCCAGGTTTCCCCATCTCCAGTCAACCAGAGGCTTAGGCCAAAAAGTCTGCAGACATCTTTTATTTCTCTTTCTTTTTCCACTCCCAACCTATCAGCAAATATTACTGTGTCTTTCTTTGAAATAGATTCCAAATCCAAACACCTCTTTCCTCATTGCTCCCATCCAAGTCCAAGACCCCTTTTTCATCTGAACTGCTTCCATATGTCTCTAGCCTTCTTCTGTTTGCTTTCCTTGCTATTACGCTTGTCCTCAACATTCTCTTCGCAATACAGCTGTAGCAACACTTGTAAAATATAAATGTGACTATCATTTCCTTCAACTGTTTCCTATCAAACTTGAGTAAAATTCAAAATGCTCCCTAACAGACAGAAACTTTTCCCCCAGTTCTCATTTCTGAGTAGCAGAATTTCCACTGATTGCCACTCCAGGCCCCTCTCTGCATACCCCTTCACCTCTCACCTCCACATGAACGCTGAGCAAATTTTCTAGCTGTTTGGTTCAGGGAAAAGAATTTAGGCTCCACTTAAGGACTTTGCTCTTTCCTCTGCCTGTAGTATTCTCCCCACAAAGGGTTGACGTGGCCTACTCCTTCATTTCAGTCTCCACTCACATTTCCACCTCAGAAAGATCTTTCCAGCCCACCCCACTTCCCCCATCTAAAATAGTAACCCCTGTTCCTCTACAGCATTCATCACTGGTGAATTTACATTATATATTCATTTGTTTATTACTTATTATCTGTCTCCCCACCTTATCCTAGATTGTAAACTCTTAGGGCAGACTACTTATGTGTTTTATTCACTGTGGCATTTTAGCACCTATAACATGACTGGTACATAGCACATGTTTAATATTCATTGAATGCCTAATAGGCCGGGTGCAGTGGCTAATGCCTATAATCCCAACACTTTGAGAGGCTGAGGCAGGTGGATCAACTGAGGTCAGGAGTTCGAGACCAGCCTGGCCAACATGGCAAAACCCCATCTCTAGTAAAAATACAAAAATTAGCCGGGTGTGGTGACATGTGCCTGTAGTTCCAGCTACTGAGGAGGCTGAGGCAGGCGAATTGCCTGAATCCAGAAGGCAGAGGCTGAAGTGAGCTGAGATAGTGCTACTGCACTCCAGCCTGGGTGACAGAAAGAGATTTTGTCTCAAAAGAAAAAAAATAATTATTGAATGCATAGGATTTTTGATAAATTTTTATTGAACTTTCTTATCATCTTATACTTTCCAATGGGTTTTCAGTTTACTCTCTCTTTTAATAAATAATTATGTAATCTTCATAAAATAATTTGTGTGTGGCCGGGCGCGGTGGCTCATGCCTGTAATCCCAGCACTTTGGGAGAGTTCCGAGACAGGGCGCGTGATCATGAGGTTCACGGAGATCGAACATCCTGGCTAGCACGGTGAATACCTTATTTAAACCTTCTCGTCTCGTACTAAAAATACCAAGAAACAGTTAGCCGGGCTGAGGTGGCTGGAGCCTTGTAGTCCCGCTACTCTGGAGGCTGATGTTCATAGGAGAATGGCGTGAACCTCATGGGGGCGGTAGCTGCAGTTGACCGAGATCTTGCTGCTCCAGCCATTTTCATTGCTGGTTCCAGCCGGGCCAGAGCACTCCAGCCTGGGCACAGAGCAAGACTGATTTGCGTTGCCGTCTCAAAAAAAAAAAAAAATAATTAATAATAATCTTGATACATATTATAATTTGTGTGTT